AATAACAATGGCATTTCTAAATCACATATAGTTAACGAATAGAGGCTGGAACATCATCTTGATACAATGGCAGAAGATGCATCACGATGTATGCTCTTCGAATTTTATCAATATGCATTATCCGTTCGCGAGGGGTCGAGTAAACCAGTTCTCCCATCCACTTTAATAGGATAGTCACAAGTCCTCGAAAGACTAGCATGTACAAAATATCACCTCTGACTTTCGGAGAGCAGTAATGATACCGGCCTCATCTGTGGTGGATAGATCCAGCGTTAGCAGACGAGCGAGCAGGCACTCCGTCCCAATAGAAGAATTTTGAAGGTCAGTAGAGCCAGCCTCGGTAGTCAAGTCGCCATTGCCTCCAGTTATTTGCTTTGAAGTCATATTCGCAACGCTACTAGGAGCTGATGGTCGAGGAAGGTGAATGGTCGTCTGTGCATGCATATATAACTCCTGAATAAAGGCCCAGCAATCCTCAAGTGCTAGATCAGGCCGACCAGCTTGAATCAACAGTTCGCGCAAGTAGGCCTAATCAAAAATGAGATTAGAAATGATGCATGAAACAAGTGGAAGGGCAGTTGCTAATAGCAGACCGGCAGGTTATCAAACATAATTCTTTAATATGAGATGTATTTACCCTATTTCGTTTAACATAATAAAGGAGTAGTACTAAAACGTTCTCACAATGATATGAGTAGAGCTGACCTTTCCATTAAATTTCACATAGTCTTGCTTTGCCAAAAGTTGTTCTCATCCAGGGTGGACTGCAGCTTCGACCTCGCATAGGTCGACTAAGTTACTTATTTTTCGTATGTAACAAGAGTTTCGAGACTACCAGTAAACCAATAGTCTCAAAACTCTACTTACATACAAAAATTAAGTAACGTAGTCGATTGTTTGAGCAATTATACGTTTGCTTCCTCGACAATCTTACCAAAAGAATGTGATATATGGCAAAAGGTATGGCCTTCCTTAAAATTGACATTTACCCTGTGACCCAAGGGCACTCGTGGCAATGTAGTCAAGTGGTTAACGTGTCAAGCTCAAATTCTGCACTGTCACGGTTCAACTCCCGCTGGGGGTCTTGATAATACCTATGCGAGCTCAAAACTGCGGTCTACTCTGAATGAGAACAACTTTTGGGAAAGCAAGGCTATGTG